CGGGTGTGCCGCTTCCCGCCCCAGGGCGCCTGTTTTCTAAGCTATTTTGGCTGCCCTGGACATGGCTAGCGCTGTCCCTGTGGCAGCTTGGGAGGAGACTGGCCGAGGCCTCTGGGTGTTGTGGGGAGCCGTGGGCCTCTGCAGCAACAGCTCACCCTGCTTTGGGTTCTGCCGGTGGCAGTGAACTATGCGTGTGTGGAAAGTGGACATGGCAGAGATGGAATTTGGAAGAATTCTTATTCTCAAGTCTATTTTCAATGAATACAGTAGCTTCTCTTCCCCAGGAAGCCACTGGGGACCCTTTGACAGGTCAGCCCCTGCAGCAGGAAGCCGTGGGGAGGAGCAGGCCTCACTCTTGGGCCTCGCTAAAGTTTAGCTTTGAAGGGAAAGTGTTCTAGTCCCTCCTGCAAGAAGGCTTGCTGCCTTCGAGGGCCCCAGCTGGCTTAACCAAAGACAGACTTGTCTGTGAATAGGATACTGCAGTTCTGTATCGTGGTTTCGGGGGAAGACCACAGCGAGTATGGAACAACTTGGATGTGTTTTAATTCCTTGAAAACAGAAGGTGTGAAAGTGATGCTTTAACATAATATGCGCATAATGCAAGGGAATGTTCCGGCAGGTCTTTGAAGAAGGAGGTGCTGGGGGTGTGGGGCTGGACCAAGCACCCTCCAACAGCCTGTAATGAGTTTATTTGTGGAGCTCTGGGTGCTGTTTGTTTTCTGCTGTAGCTGTAGTGAGCCCAGCTTTCTGCCACTGTAAATCTCCCTGCAGCAATTGGTGTGCAATAGCACCTCAGAACCTGTTGCTGTCTGTCATTCTGCAGGCCTGACCCTGTCCCTGAGCTGCCCTGTTAGGTGGTGCCCTCCAGTAGGTAGTGTGCTAAGTAAACAGCTCCCAACAGCAAGGTCTCGGTAGTCCTTGGGCTGTTCTGTTTCATTTTATTCCAATCATGCAAACTTGAGTCTGGCCTGAACTGGAGGCCTCTCCTGTTGCATGTGCAGGAAGTGCAGGGTGGCCAGCAGCCCAAGGACAGGGCCTGGCTGCAGACTCCTTCCAGTGCTGTTCCTAGCTTCATGATCCGTGGCTCCACCTCAGCAAAGGCTAAAGGGGATGTTCCTTAAAATGAAAAATGAAAGCTGTTCATGATGGGCAGGCACTCTGAGCTTATGAGTAATGAGCAAGCTGATGGAGGCCTGGGGTGGTGATTCTTGGTAGAAAGACCTGCCTGGTATGGTGGGGTTGACTGTGTCCATCCTTGCCCTGTAGTAAGTGAGTTTCCTGAGCAAGAGCACCTGTGCCTTGTATTTCAGCCCAGACCAAGGGTGGTGACTGGGAGTGCAGCAGGCTCCTGCCTTGTGGGCGGCCTGCCCTCACAGCAGCGTGTCCTAATGAGGCGACACTGACTGGTTCTACTTTGTGGTTGTTCAGCAGTAATGCGAACGGCTCTGAAAGAAATTATCCCACAGAGTGAGGCGGTGGTGGGCTGAATTCTTTTTGCTTTTAGTAAAGGCTTTATAGTTTTTTCTTTTCCCAGAGCCTGCATTTCCCTCCCTCCAAAAAGGGTCTGGGTCTGTCCTTACATTGAAATACTGCTTGGATTATGTAAAGGCCCCTCATGGGATGTCCTCGGGTGTGTGGGCTGTATTCTGTGTACTTCCTGTTCTCCATGGCTGGGCCCAGGGCAAGAATGTCCCTTTTCTGCGTTTTCCTGGCCAGCGTAGCCCTTCCCACAGAAACCTCATTCTTACCACTGCCCCAAAGCGGACTGAGAGAGCCCATCAGACCACCCCCTCTGCGTCCCTCCCTGCCGTTTCCTCTGGCACCTTCCATGATCAACCCCCGACCCAACAGTCAAGCCCTCGGCTCTGTCATCTCAAGGGCACCTGGGGCAGGGCTGAGTCCTGTGGGCAGCTGGGGAGCTCAGGATTTGCTCTGCTAATATTGGGAATGTTTAGAGAAGCTTTTGGGGTTACCTTCCCACCAGCAGAGGTAGCTCAGCTAGGGGGCAGTGGTTGCTGAAGGGAATAGTGTTCTTGTTCTTGGGAGACAGAAAGTAGAGGAAGCTGTGAGTCCGTGAGAGTTGAGGCTTTGCTAAGATCTAGGGGCTGGAGGCAGTGCAGGGATGGGTGGATGCCGGATCAGGGCTTTATGGTGAATGCCTGTGGCTGCTGTAATGTGTAGTATTTCCCATCAGCCTCACGCCTGATGCTTTCTAGTTTTCTGGAGCTTGAATATTAGATTGTTTGCATGCTTCAGACAGAGCAGAGGGTTCTAGACACATCATGCTTCCAACCTAGCTTGAAATCTGAGCTCATGTGCTCCTTTCTGGGAAAGATGGGGCCTGCATGGCCACTTTCACCTGGGATCATATGACCCCAGACGTGACACCTTGAGGACAGCATGTCTAGAGGGGGACACGGAGCCTCCTGCGCACGTGGCACTTGTCGCAGCTCACCTGACTGAGAGGCCTGTTCCTCAGGCCCTGCTGCATAGGGTTCCCGATGCTGAAGAGCAGAGACCACAGACAGTAGCTTGTCATTCTTTGTAGGGTGGAACTTGCAGGTGGCTGCCGGGGCTGGGGGCAGGCATTAGTCTGTGGGTGTCTGAGAATACCGGGAGATCAGAAGGGGCCTGGTGGAGGTGTGGGCACAGCAACATCAGGTGCTAGAGAAATTTCCTAAAGAGGCATAACCAGGGAGACCCACAGGCAGAAATTTTGTGTTCTGTGGTGAAACCAAACACTGTGCTGGAAGGAAGGGAAGCAAATATTTATCAGTTAATTTTGGAATATAAAAGTCCTAACCTATAAATATATGGCTTCACCCTCCCATTGTCAGTACTATTCCACTTAATGATCATTTGACACCTGACTTCTTGCCTGAAGAAGGGCCATCCTGTGTGTACCGGTTGGCTTTCAGGTGGCAGTATGGTCTGGGAAGGGCTGGGCCATCGGTCAGGACCTCTGCAGGGCAGTGTGCAGTCTGCACGTGTATGTGGCAGCAGAGCATTGTGCCAGTGCTCAGCAGCCACTCTCCGTGTGTGCTTGCCAGGGGTCGTGCGTGTTGGACATGGGGTCTGCTGGTCTCCACCAGCTGAAGGCCAGGCCTGCACAGACTTGCAGGGAGGGCTGGGTTACAGCTGACTTGCTCTGGAGCCTGGGCTTAGGGACTCTGCAAAGGTTACTCTGGGTGGTCTCCATGGGGCCTCTGTTAGCTGGCTAATGGCTATCTCCTTCCTCAGAGGTTTATCTAGGAAGTGGCTTCCTGGATGATTTTTAAGAAGATTTAAACCTAGCTTTTGACATTAGATTCTGGCTTCCTATCTTGATGCTGGTGATGTTATGATTGGGAAGTCGGGCTTGTGCGTGGTAAGGACCCACCGCTAGTTTTCCAGCTCAGCTGGAGGAGCTGGCCTAGCAGAACATATGGGCAGGGCTCAGTTTCTGCCACTCAGGGCTTCTGATGTTTGCCCTGCACTCTCTGTCCTGTCCTTCTGCTCTGCAGTTTCTGGAAGGTGGCTGGGATCAACCCCATCTCCTGTCCTCACACCCTGCCTCCCTGAGCCCACCTTCAGGGAGAGAGGTCATTATGGAAATAGCAGTGTTTTGGTCAAAGGGATTTTGACCTGACAAAAGAACTCCTTGATAAGTGAGGATTATAAAAGACTGGATTACAATAGCTAGTGGTTGAATGACTACTTCTGGAAATAGGAAATAATGACGACAGAATCCCATGTGTTTGGGAAGTAGGAAAATACCACTGAGTTTGACTTGGTGCTCTGAGATCCTCACTTTTCTGGGGGTGATCTTCATCGGGTTCTGAACCAGGACACACAGAGGAGCAGTGCCATCTGTGGATGATAGCCCTTCCCGCCAGTGCAGTAAGCCAGGGATGGATCTAGAATTTCTACAAATTGTTTCCATTATTTAGAGACCTGGGAATACTAGACTGTAGGGAAATAAGAAGCTCCAGGGTGCTGGAAGAAGTCTTCCACATTGGAAATCCAGAAGCATGGCTTTCCTATTAAAATTAACAATAATGATTTTAAGAAAATGTTTAATTGAGGTAAAATTAATACATAATGATTCTTAACTTTAGCTGTGCAGCACAATCATCTGCTTTGTTTTGTTCTTAAAGATGAATTCTTCAGGCATGAGCCAGTGTCCATGAAAGGTACCCTAAAATTCATGTTTTCATCCAATCCTTGAGTATTTTCTTTGCAGCTGGTGATGGAGGCACCTTGACAGTAATTAGCCTATTGAAATCTATTTAAATGTCTAGGTCCTTGTATCTAAAACATCCTCCCTCCTTCCACTCACCCACCCATCTATCCATCCATATGTCTATCATCTTATCTTTCACTCCTTCCTCCCTTCCTCTCTCTCTGCCTTTGTCCTTCCTTCCATCATCCATCCATCTGACCATCATCTACCCATCTATCCATGATCTGTCTGTCCATTATCCATCTATCCATCTATACATCCTCCAGCCACCCATCTGTCCATCCATCTCCCTGTCATCCACCCATCCATCCCCCTATGTGTCATCCACTCATGAAGTGCAGTGAGCACTGTTTATGTACCAGGCATAATCCTAGGCTCTCAAGATGGCAGTGAACCAAGGAGACTAAGGCAGGCAGAAGATGCTGCCATCGTGGAACTTACTTTTCACTGGGCAAAGAGATGATGATGATTAAGAGAGGTGAACAAATAAAAACACACAACGTTAGACCATGGTATGTGTTGAAAAGGAAAAAAATTAAACTAGGAAGGTGACCCATGTGTGGGGTTTGGCCTGAAGTCAGGATAGAGTGGCTGGGGAGTGCAGTCTTTGAAGCTGTTTGGAAGACAGTAAGGGGCTGGCTGTGCAGCTCCAGGAAGGAGGGCACCGTGCGGTGCAGTGGGGCCTGTGCCCACCAGGGGCTGGTGGAGCCAGGCCTGGGGCCACAGAGCCGTGGGCGTGTGCTCCCAGCCCCTCATGCCTCTTCCCTTTTCCCCCCAGAACACTACAGCTACGCCCCCACCGGCCTCCCTGCTCTGCCTCTCGCCGAGGCACACACCTCTTTGCCAGCTCCGTGCCATGACCTTCAGACGTCCGCACCAGGCATCTCAGCTGTGCCTTCCTCAAGTCACCCCTCGGGGTACGGAGGGACTGTGGACAGCGGGGCTTCGGGCTACTTCCTGTCTTCCAGCAACGCCCGGCCCAATGGGGCCCCAGCCCTAGAGAGCCCTCGCATTGAGATCACCTCGTACATGGGCCTGCACCATGGCAGCAGCCAGTTCTTCCACGACGTGGAAGTGGAGGATGTGCTTCCTAGCTGCAAGCGCTCGCCGTCCACGGCCACACTGAGCCTGCCCGGTCTGGAGGCCTACAGAGACCCCTCATGCCTGAGCCCGGCCAGCAGTCTGTCCTCCCGGAGCTGCAACTCCGAGGCCTCCTCCTACGAGTCCAACTACTCATACCCATATGCATCCCCTCAGACATCCCCATGGCAGTCGCCCTGTGTGTCTCCCAAGACCACGGACCCTGAGGAAGGCTTTCCCCGAGGCCTGGGGGCCTGCCACCTTCTGGGCTCCCCGAGACACTCCCCGTCCACCTCGCCTCGCACCAGTGTCACTGAGGAGAGTTGGCTGGGGGCCCGAGGCTCCCGGCCCACATCCCCTTGTAACAAACGGAAGTATAGCCTCAATGGCCGGCAGCCCTCCTGCTCCCCACACCATTCGCCCACCCCATCCCCTCACGGCTCCCCACGCGTCAGCGTGACCGAGGACACCTGGCTGGGCAACTCCACCCAGTACACCAGCTCGGCTATCGTGGCGGCCATCAATGCCCTGACCACGGACAGCAGCCTGGACTTGGGTGACGGCATCCCTGTCAAGTCCCGCAAGACGGCCCTGGAGCACTCACCCTCTGTGGCACTCAAGGTGGAGCCGGCTGGGGAGGACCTGGGCACACCACCACCCACATCTGACTTCCCGCCCGAGGAGTTTGCCTTCCAGCATCTCCGGAAGGGTGCCTTCTGTGAGCAGTACCTGTCAGTGCCGCAGCCCCCGTACCAGTGGGCCAAGCCCAAGTCGCTGACCCCTGCGTCTTACATGAGGTGAGTCCTACATGAGGCGCGGCTGGGTGAGCTCAGGCTTTGCGGTTGCTCCTGCTGGGCTTTCCAGTGGGGTGGGGAGAGAGGTTTGCTGTGATTTCTTGGGGCCGCACCACATCTCTGCTTCCTGCTCATGCTCCCTGTGGGCCGCCTGGCTGCCTGTCTCCGGGTTTTCCTTTCTCCGAGGAGCTGACCCTGACAGCCTCCTTGTAACCTGATCATCTAGAAAGATGCTGTTTCGTCTGAGGTTCTTTTATGGCCTTGGGTGTAGGGCTTCAACATAGTTGTCTGGGGACACAGTTCTGCTGTGACAAGGCTTGCCAGCACGTGCACAAGCCATGTTTTTGATAAAACAGAGCCATACAGTTACCCTCGCATTCGTGCCTGCCTGCTGCTCACCCACTTCCTCTCCCACCTTAATTGCTGTCACTACGGCTGGTGCAGATGGGACCTCAGCTCAGCAATCCCCCAGAGCAGCCGCCTCGCCGGTGTTTGGTGAACAACACAGCCGCCTCCTCCCAGGAGACTGGCTTTTGCTCGCTGGCAGTCTGGTGACAGGGAGCTTGAGCGTGTTCTCAACTTTGGTCTTGGGTTGTTGGTTTTCCTTTTAATGGGGCACAGGGCTGCTCACGTTCTACTGGGCCCACTTAACCAGCCCAGTGCTTTTATTTTTAACAAAACAGCTTTCCCCACAGATGGGCCACTCATGACCCTGGTAGGGTGCTTTCTGCTCTGGGATTTTTATCCGAGGGATAAAAATGTCCACTCAGACCGACAAGGGCTGCTGTGATGTCAGGGCCAGGGGGCCGGGGGCGTCGCAGGCTGCGGGACGGCTTCTCCCGTGGACCCCGTGTGCACCCGGAGCAGCCTGCGCCTGGCTCTTTTCTGTTTTGTTTCTCCTGTTTTCTCCTCATCTAGGGTATGCTGAGGTGGGGGTAGGGGAGGACCCCGTGGCTCTCAGCAGCAAGTACCCCAGAAGCGCGGGAAGTCAGAGAGGTGACTGGCTGTGTGTCCTCTGCCCTTCACAGCACAGTGGCACCCACAGATAGTCAGTGCTGGTGTGAATGTCCCTGTTGCAAGTTTTTGAGAGTTTGTAGCAGGGAATGCCAGAAGGGTTAACAGTTCCTGAAGCAGCCTGATGGTGACCACCAGGTCCCCCTGGGCAGTTTGGGTGGGAGAGAAAGAAGTGCTGCTCCTTGCTTGTCTGCCTTCTGTCCCTCCCTCTCCATTCAGTCCCAGGAGGTTTGAGGAGCTGATGACTCAGTTATCCTCAAAACGAGGGTCTCCGAACTAGGCGTGGTGACACACACCTGTGTTCCCAGAACTCTGAGAGGCTGAGGCAGGAGGATCACAACTTCAAACCCAGCCTGTCCTACTTAGCAAATTAGTGAGGCTGTCTCAAATTAAAGATCATAAAAGGGTTAGGGATGTATCTCAGTGTAAAGGCCCAGACTCCATCCCTAGGATGGCAAGAAAAGAAGAAAGAGAATCTCGGGATTGGGAGTAACTTCATAAACATAGGAACCTACAAAAATTCTATGTGAAAGTCATTTGAGAAATCTAAGAACTGTTTATGCCTGCAGTACTATCATGACGATCTTTATTTAAGTCAAAAGAATGTCTCAGTGTGAACTCTCAGATCCCCTCACTCACTCTACTCTGGAATCCAAGTTTCAGATAGTGAGGGGCATTGTCACACATAAGAGGGCTTGAGGGAACTCTTAAGGGCCAGGGAAGAGGGATGTGATCAGAATAACTGTGAACATAAACATGAACAGTCCCTTAAAGTTTGTGAAAATTCAGGTAGGCCTTGCATTTCAGCATCCTGGGGCTGTCACAGCCACGTACCTGGACAGGGCAGCATGAACAGTAGGGATTTGTTTCTCATAACTGGGGATGAGAGTCCAAGATCAAGATATCACAGGGCTGATCCCCCCTCCTGCAGAGGCCCCTCTTGTTGGCTTATAGATGCCGTTGTCTCCCAGTGTCCTCAGATGGTTGTCACTGTATTTGTGTCCAGATGTCCTCTTTTTTTTTTTTTTTTTTTTTTTGAGGCAAGGTGTCATTATGTAGCACAGACTGGCCTCAAACTCATGGCAATCCTCCTGCCTCAGCCTCCCAAGTGCTAGAATTATTAGGCATATGCCACCATACCTGGCCAAATGTCCCCCTTCTTATGAGGACACCAGGGCCCACCCCACTGACCTTGTTTAGCTTGGTCATCTCATCAGTGGTCCTTTCTCCAAATACAGTCATATTCTGAGGTACTGGAAATCAGCAATACAATGTAGCAATTCTGGGGGCCACAGCCGGGCCCTGACTGCCTGCTCTCTGTCCCAGGAGAATGACAGGACCTCACTGATGCAAAATCCATTCTTCGGTCTGGGCCTGGACTCTGGCTTTCCTGGTGGATCTCGGCCTGCTGCCTGCCTATCCCAGACCTGCCTGGCAAGACTGTTGGAAAGCACAGTTGCCGTTTTCTTCCTTTGCTTGGGAGCATTGGCAGTGTCTCATGGCAGATGATGCTGTCATCTTTATCTCCTGGTCACAGAGCTCTCTGGCTAGGTGTGATGCCCACAACATTCCTGTGAGTTAACGCAAACAAGCAGGAAGAGTGGAATATACCAAACCACCCGAGGGGTTTGACATTCACCTTTCTCTCTGTTTTGGTTCCACCTCGAAATATGTTTCCTGGTCCCTTGTGATGTGTTTCCATAGACCTCATTAACTGGCGCTCTGGGGCAGCTGGAAGCCACAGGACAGATGAAATGTGAAGTTATTTTGCCAGCAAGAGGGAGAGGCCAGACTTCCTTCCCGCAGATGCCTCAGTGGATGTGCACGGGACCCACCGTGGATGGCTGGTGCTGGTGCTGCGCTGCTGTGTTACTTATCTCCAAAACTTGGGGTGGGAAATTCTCACAGCCAGTTTTCCTCTTTTGTAGGATGCAGGACCTCAGCTCCTTCAGTCTGTACCAGTGTTAAAGGAGCTTATAATGAGTTGCCCCAGTCTCGTCTTCCCTAAGGAATTTAGATGTTGGGATCATTTCCCTTTGGGGGACTTTTTTGTTCTGTTTTATGGCATTCACCCCCTTTTCTGTCCAGAGCACTCTGATAGGCCCACATAGGTTCAAAAAATGACACCAAATTCTGCTGCAACTAAAGAAACTACTGTGTGTTTGTGAACATATTGAGAATATTTGGTAGAATTGTATAGTATAGAGTTTAACTGAATGCCACTTACAGCTTGGGAAGCTGATGCAGAAATCATAGGTGACTTGCTCGACACCTGACTTGCTTGACACCCCCACCCCTAAGAAAATCAGAATTTTAATTTCTCTACCTAGCATCTGTCTACATAGCCTCTTAGAAGAAGCAGAGTTCCTTCCCACTTTTCATGTGCGATGGAGCAGAGCAATTCTGTGTGATGCTACGGAGCACAGAGAGGAGCACGTCCTGGCATGATGGTGCAGAGAGGGACCTTGCCTGGCACCTGTCTCTGGCCAGGGCAGGGTGCACACGTGCTGCTGTACAGAAGATGCCAATTTATATTCAGTGATTTCTAAATGTGGTTGTAGATGGGGGCTTGGGATTTATATATTAACCCAGCGGAACTAAAGTTTAAATGATCCTTTGTCCATCTGTTCCACCACTGAGCCCCATCTAATCAAGTGCTTGTCACTACTGTGTGTGACAGCAACAGGAGCATTTGTGCTCTTTCAGAAGAGGCTCATGTGAAGTCTCGACCTTTCTGAGGTTTCTGAAGGCCTTCCCCTGTCTGCACCCACAGGGTCTCTGGATCTACCTGTCAGAAGGCAAACATGTATAGAAAGAATTTAGATAAAAAGGAGCTAGTTTGGGGAAAACGGGAGCCTTTTAATTGAGTGTATTTGTAACACCAGCAGCACATGTTAACTCCTCTGAATGAATTGCTACTTGTTTTCTTTCTTTTTTAAAAAAAATTTGGTACATGTTTGTAATACATAATGATTACATTCATCACAGGGAGTAGGTGTACAGGTATAACATAGCTTGATTCTTTTTATCCTCCTTTCCCTCTCCTACTTCCCAAACCACTGCTTGTTAAAAAGAATAGAATTTCTACGGGGCATGATAGACTTATTGAATAGGTTTTACTCAAAGCCTGCTTGGTCCTGATGATCACAGGTAGTAGGTACATGTATTAGTCAGTTTTTTGTTGCTGTGACCAAATACCTGAGAAAATCATCTTAAAGGGAAAGATTCACTTTGGCTCATGGTTTCAGAGGGTCTAGTTCATGGTTAGTTGGCTCTATTACTTTGGGCCTGAGGTGAGGCAGAGATATCATAGTGGAAGGCCATGGTGCAGGGAAGCTGTTCACTTCATGATAGTTAGGAAGCAGGGAGAAAGAGCCAGAGAGAAAGAGGCTGGGAACCAGATACAGTTCCCTCAGTCCCATCCCCATGATCTGTTACCTTCAGCTAGGCCCCGCCTCTTGTTTCAATCAACTCCCAATAAGATCATCAAATTATGATTTCATCAATGATGAAATTAGAGCCCTTGCAGTCTGATCTCTTCCTTGTTGTAGATTCCAGCCATGTCCCAATCAGTAACATCACTGAGGCATCATTTCAAGTTTTGGTTGTGATGTTGGCGGTCTTAATGGTATTAATAGCTTTGATGCTATGCATAATTGTTAGCTTCAAAAGCCCTGATGAAAATCCTTTTGCATTTGAGAAGTTGAGCGAATAGTTCAGTGTTTTTCCTAAAGTAGAATAAGATTAAATAAACCTGTGAATGGGTAACAAGTAAATCCACATCTTGTCTTTCTCCAGATGTGAATCCCTTTCCCGTCTCACTGAGGAATTCTACAGACTTTGGATAGCTGTTCTGCTTTTGTGACTGGGTGCACGTCTAGGGTGGGCAGGGTGCCAGTGGAAGATGACAAAGGGTCCTGGGTCTCCAGGCCCACCTCCAGACTAGTGGCCAGGCTGGGCTGTTCAGAGCTCTGATGCCTGAAAAGAGC